AAAACGAGGGCTGCTCTTTCCCTCGTAGTGTCTGCTCCTTGGCGTTTATCACAACAGTGCCTCTTACAACTTCGCTGCCTAGTTACTCGGTCTAACAAAAACCTTCTGAAACACCTCTGGAAGTTAACTAGCCCAAGTAAGTGTTATTGTGCTATTTGCTCTGTTTTCTGAAGACAAACGTTAATCTCCCTCAAGCGTGGAAGTTTATTACCTATTATCTTTCCCAATTAATTCTGATCCAAAAGAGGACATTTCCTCTTTTGCTTACTTTAAAGACTCTGATGAGGGTACCGAATGAACAGTTTTGCCTGGATCAATCAGACTACTGGCTACTGCAAAAAAAATCTAACAATTTCTCTTGATTTCCTTCTATGAAAACCATCCCTTCTCTTCTTTAATACTATATTCCGCCAGGGACTGAATTAGTCTACTCTTTCACAAGTGCTATGAGTCTGCTTAAATTAAACTTACTGATCTACAGCTCTTCAGCGCAATCTGGAGCTTTTTAAAAATGCTGCTGTGCTCCATTTCTCAGACTCAGAAGATGAGTTATGCCACAGGCTATGGAAAATAGATGAGCAATTTTGCACTCAAAAACCCCAAAGAACTCCATTAGTGCCACTAGAAAAATATCTTCTGGTCTTGGGCTTTTTTTTTTTTTTTTAAACATTCATATTGTTGATATGTTCTGAAACCACTTACATTTCAGTGAGAATTCTTCAGTCCCATTCAGCAAAAAAAAAAATAAAAAAAAAAATTGACTTGTCTGAAAGAGTTGTTAGGTCTTTACATAACAAACACAGACAAAAGTAGCTGCCAGATTTCTGCTCCGGCCTTCCCGTCCCAAACCTCAAGCACCAGCTGGCCCTACTGACACTAAGGCTTACATGTTGTTCTTGTTTGTTTGCTTGTTTGAGTTTGTTGCTGTTGTTTAAGATTCATTCACTCTAATTACCCTCTCAGGAAATGTAAAAGAAAGTATAAGGCCAATCAAACACTAACTTGTCAAAATTCAGTTCCATTCCATTTCCTCTCCCAGACCAAAAACTGTGATGTTTTTTCAAAGCATGACTTCTTAATGTTCTCTCTACTCTCCTGCTTTCCTGGATTATTTCAGAATCACTGCTGACCAGCAGCATAAAGGCACTCTAAGTGCCTTTACTATATTTTTTAAACAGTCTTCATGTTGTCTGTAAACCTTTATCCTTTTACCAGTTCTTTTTCTTTAACACAGACTCCATATTTTGAAGTTCAATACTACAGTGATTTATTTTAACAATGACATCCATGTAGCAGGAAAAAAAGTAGCTATTGGTATCTTAATTATCTTAATGATCCTGCTCAGGGCTAAATCATGGGTTACTTTTCTTAGGGGTTCGTTGAATAGTTGCTTCAATAAGTTATCATTTTGTTACTACGACGACTGTTTGCCTACCACACTGCATCATGACTTTTATCCAAAACAAAGGAACACTGAAGCCTCCCGTCTCCAGAAGAACAGACACCATCTTCAAATTTAGCAAAAAACCTCCACAAGCTCAGCAACAAGGCACTCCAGATTGTGTCCCAAATCCTGGTGAGACATTTCTAGCAGACAAAGAGCAGTGTTCCAAGCACCACGTTGCCGCGTAGCTACTCACAGGTGTGTCACACAAGCCCAGGTGCTTTTCATGCAAAGGAACGCCAGAGAAGGCTCACCCCTGCCATTTTCAGGATCATCACAAAACATAAAAAAAAGAAAAGAACCAGATACGGCAGTTAAATATCAGTGGCAGTTTAAAAAGGTGGTTTTTCTGTGATTTTGACAGAACATAATAGAGGAAAGTGCTAACTTCCACAAGGCAACGAAATGCTAAGCATCATTCTTCAAGGATGAAGAGGGCACCTTAGAAAACAGTGAATCCAGAAGACACGTACCTTTCCTCATCTCTGTTAAAGGCAGCAACAAAAGCCTTTCCACTAGACATTTTTTGGGAACCAAATGCCACCAACTGACTTTACACATTTTAATTCTATAGCTACCCATCAGTTGGTAAGAAAAATTTCAAGTACGAATTACATTTTAACTGAGAAATGAACAGAGACAGCTTGAGCTTTTTATATACGTTTAATAAAAGCAGCCAATGATCTGTGATGATACAACTCGTATATGGAAGGCATGCCAGCCCAACACAGCTAAACTGCATACACTGCATATTTAAAACCATTATTATATTTATTATCATATAATTATTATGTTTATTATCATATTATTATCTATATGCCCAATGTTGAGCATTATACCTGATAACATTTCCGGTGCTCTTCCAGACACACGCACCTCTGATGAATACCTAAATATACAGGTCAAAATATAATGGGGAAGGGCATATCCTAATTATTACCCTTCCTTATTAGAAGAGATTAGTTACTGATGATACAGTAATTTAACCATTTTTTTTCTTGGATGAGCATCTCTAGCTCATTTCTGCCAACACGTATTATTAATGATTAAGGATTTAATTTCTCACAGCCTCTTGTCTTCGATGGTTTCTTACTTCTTCCCCTTTCCCAGTAATACAGAGGAAGAAAAATAAAGCTAAAATAAAAGCAAGAGATAAAACAATGCAAACACCAGTGAGCATTAAATCCTGAATTCATGTTTCCTCCCCAGAAGACCTAATACCTGAAATTGAAGACCTAATCCATGAAAGTTGAAACAATGACCAATACTCTATGGCGCAGACACACCAGGTAATGTTACCGCATTTGTCTTCCAAGTTCTGCAGCTGTTCTCAAGGACCTAAGATATTATAAATGAAAGGCCTCAGCAACTAGAGTCAGAAAACAGAACTGGCAGCATGAAAAAAAATCAGAACACCTCTATATATTTTTTGTCCTATAGTGCTTTCTATTTTCTTGATGAAAAATTATTCCCTTAAAAGAATCTCAAAAACTTATTACAGTAAATAAATTCTTTAGTACCTATCAATAAATAACTTGATACTTATGAAAAAAATCACCAATTTCAACAATGATTTGTAAACATTCAAGAAGTAAAATGGCATTATTTAACCATTTAAATTCATCTTTAACACTTTCAGCAACCCACCCAGTCCACATGTTTCCATTAAAAGAAATTAATACTTTTAGGTCCCCTGCTATAGAGCGTTGTCTTGACAAAAGCAGAGGGCCCACCTGTTTTAAAAGCATACCAGCCCATCTGTGATCTGTTCACCATACCATAGGTAGGAGCATGGCGAACATATCTTGGTATGTGAGAGGTAACACGTCTATTTGTGAACAGAGATGTCACATTTTAACATGCTTTCAACAAATGTATTTCTGTTGCATAGATACTCCCGCTTAGCGCTGACATAACCTGCAATCTTGCACCCCTGGGGTTGCTGTCTAAAAAAATATTTCAAACTGCATTGCATCTCATGGGGGGTGGTGGAAAAACCTGTCCTTCCTACAAGGAACACAGACAGCTTCGCACAGCTGGCCAGGCTTTCTCCAGAAACCAGTGATTCAGCATGATAGCTCTAGACAGGACAGGTCACCAGAAAGAACAGAAAAATGGTGCTATGTGAACATTTAACTAGCTGTAATTATGTCAGATGACGATATCAAGCCTGATTACAAGAGTTCTGTATCCCACACACCCAGGTCCAAAGAAATACTGTAACCCCAGGCTGTAATCCTGTCAGAATGAAGCAGGTCTTAACTACCATTTTTAACAACCAGATGCATAGGTAGCATTTAATAAGCTGAACTATTAAGGTTTGGGAAATCAGCAGGTATTCCAGTGCACTCTGAAGTAGCTAATCACTTACCAATAGTTCTCCTGCATTGTTTGAAGAACTTAGATTTGTTACAAGGGATTGCTGTAAAGGTACAAGCATTCAGCAAGTCCAAACACCATACCGTATGTGAAAGTAACAGTCTCACACCAACAGCACAAATTAATACAAGCTCCTAGTAGGCTAGTTCTACCATTTTCTACTTTTACTCTCACAATTTGTTCAAACAAATCAACAAGTTAAGCAATCCAAAATGAGTAACAACTTATTGCGAGTGAAGGTTTCCAGCCTACTGGAAAACACGCTGATTTCCAAAACATACTATGGGATTCCAAGGCCCTGATTAAGCCTTGCTAAAGACAAAAACATCCTCTTTGTTTCTCAAGAACCCCTATTAAGTTAAACGAACAGATCTCCTCTCCCGTGAAATCGGTTAGATTGTGTGTTCTTTGGAATTCTGATCTGAAAAACAGGCCGCTTTGTATACAGCCATGAATTTCTGATTGCCCAGGTCTGCTGCCTCACACCGATGTCCACACTGTCATGGGTAAATACAGGGTGACATCAGAGCTCTGGGAGCATATCTGCAATTTGAGTAAACAAAAACCAGGAATTCTTTAAAGCGCAACCAATGGTACCCTCTTTGCTGGAGACATAGACCTAGCAAGAAATGCTCAGAGCACTACAGGTGCAAAGGAATATTCCCCTCAAAATGCTATGATGACACACGGCATGCTCTGGAGCACGGATCATGTTCTACGGCCCCACGACCATCTCGCTGTGACAGGGCTGTATCTGCTCTCAGACGTTTCACTTCTGCGAGGCACAACGTTCGGCTTTAACGCCTCCCCGTGAGACCCTGACACCGGGGAGGCCGGGAAGAAACCGACCACGGCGAGTTTCCTCCTCGGCACCGGCAGCGCCAGGCCGACACCCAGCAGCAGCAGCAGCAGCAGCAGCAGCAGCAGCAGCGGAGGCAGCGGCTCCCCCCCGCCTGCCCCCCGCGCTGTCACCGCCTGCGGGCACAACCGGGCCAGGCCCCGGGGCTGCGGGGGGACGGCTGCGGGCCCACGGAGCCCACCCGCGGGCTGTGCGGCCCCCACAGGCCCCGGCGCGGCTCCGAGCCCCGCACAGCGGCCGCCTCCCCCGCCACCCCCGGCCGAGGCCCCGCACCGTGTCCCCCCCCATCCCCCCGGTGCCGTGCCGGGGGTGCCTCACCCTTGACGGCTCGCTCGCTGGTGGCGTGCGGCGGCAGCAGCAGCACCTTGCTCCCCTCCTTGGCGGACATCGCTGGGCGCTGCCGGGCTCCGCTGGCGGCTGCTGCTGGGCGCGGCGGCGCCTTCGTCCGCCTCCTCCGCCCCCGGGCCGGCGGGGAGAGGGGCGCGGGGCGTTGCGGCGGGGCTGGGGGCGCCTACAGGCCCCGGCGGAACATGGCGGCAGGCGCGGCTCGCAGCTCCTCGCGCAGCCAGGGGACAGTCGGTCCGCCTCGGGCCCGGCATGCACCGCGCCGCCGCCCCGCCAGGGGACTACGGGAGCGTGGCGAAACTCCCCGCGCCGCCAGCGCGGCCGGCAGGGAGCGTGGCCAAACTCCCCCGCGCCGCCGCACGAGCCCCGCCGGGGCGGCGCCTCCGCCGCGGGGAGGGGCGGCGCGGCCGCGGCCCCCGCCGGCACGGAGCGCCCCCGCCGCCACCGCCAGCGGGCCGCGAGGGGGCCAGGCCGAGGCCGGGGGGCCGGGGAGGGGAGGGGAGGCGCGGCCCGGCCCCGCGGCCACCATGGAGAGCTCCGCGGGGCCGCCCCTCAGCGCCGGGCAGCGCGCGGGGAGCCATTTTGTGAGGCGGCCGCGGCCCCGCTGGGCGCGGGGGGCAGCGGTGACAGGGAAGGGAGATTTGAGCCATTCTCTATCTATGGAGATGGTGCTTTCAGCTATTGATAAAGAAAATGTGTAAGATGTATTGAGTTATGGTACCCACTTGACACAATAAATCAGTAACAGGCTCCTGTGAGGGCTTTCCATTTTCACCTGAACACGGCAAGAGCAAGGATGACAGGAGGTATCTGTCATCTGCATGAAAAGCTCATGGTTGACAACCAAAAATACCTCAAAACTGAGAGTTCATAGAGGAAGCTGGTTTGATTGTGCCCTCCCCTCCTTTTCTTAAATTACATGAGCAAACTTCTGATAAGCAAATCACTCTAACACACTCATGAGAAGCAGTTGATAAATTTAAGGGAATCAGAATTATAGTCCTTATTTATCTATTAATGGAACACGTAAGCCTTCAAAACACAGCTTTTGAAAACACAGCTCTATTAATTCCATGTAAAATGTGTGCATGCACACAGAGAGCTGGGACAGAGTATCACAAAAGAAATCCTGGACCACTATTCTACGTTTAATCATTATTTAACCATTATGTTTTCCAGTAGTAGGAATTACCACTTCATACCCCATGTTTGGCAAATGTCTGTCATTGTACAACCAATTTAAAGGGCATGGCTTTTAAATAGGAAAAAACTCATTAGCTTCAGCACCATCCATACCCATAAGATCAGAATATGCAGCAAGAGCATAGGAGAGGAAGGGCAGTAAGTAAACACTGCTCCAATTGACTTAGAATTAGATTAAGTAGATCTGCTGGAAGAGGGAGGGGGGGAATTAATTCAGTGTTGTTCAGTGAATTTAGTAGCAAGAGAAGCTCAGTAATAAATGCAGTTTCAATGTTTGACAATGTGAAACAGAGGCTGAAATAAATTCAGTTGTCTATACAATGCTGAACACAGGGAACCTGAGACCTTGCTGGGTGTTGCCAGGAATTACCTCTGTAGCTGAAGTGCTGCTGCAAAAAGAGGTGCCTCTCAGTTACTCTCTTCTCTCATGAGCCTACAGCCAACATGCCTCTTTATCCCTTGGGGTATGAAGTAAAAGGAGCTGATAGAATTCTGGTTGAGGAAAAAGCTTAGCACAGTTTTATTTTATTCTGATGGTGTGGCAGGAGGAGCTTCCAGAGTGCCTTGCAAACTGAAATGCTTCTAGTGCTATCCTGGCACCTGAGGAAAAGGCTCATCCAGAGGAAGCTTGCTGTACCCCACTGCCCAAATACATCAGGTTGGCTTGATGAATGGCATTGTCTCCCTATAAACCATATATCTTTAAAACATTAAAATAATAATTTGAATGACTATTTTTGAATAACAACAGATAGAGAAGTTAGCTAGCATGTTTACTTTGGGCTTTTATTGTTGTCCATTTTTTGGTTTTAATATATTCCATCTTGCCTTATTAAAATACAAAGGAAGTGCCTTTTTCATTAGGACAATGCCAAAACCTGTATTAGTGAGAAACACAGAAGTAAAGAATTATGCCCAAGCCCTTTAGCTTACCATTGAAGCTTTCATGTTGTGTCATCTCTAAATCTGCTAGAGATTCTCGAAGGGGCATCCATATTGCCCTAGCTCAACTAACATAACTTCATGGTGAAAGCAAAGCTGTTTGATTCTGTATGGCTTGTCTTCAATGAACTACAAATAGCGTTATCGCTATAGGAAGTTAGCAACACAATTACAAATAGAAACACAGATTTGCAAGTAAAAGTCAACGTGCCTTTATAAACTCAACAGTTTACCACATCTCTCTCATAAATGCCAGACAAAAGCATTTCTAAAAAAACATAATTACATTTTATTTCCCATTCCACTTTGCCACCAAGTGGCCATTTCATTCCACACATTTTAATACCTAAAAAAAAAAAAGGCCAATTGCTATTCTAACTGGTATACTAAATCTTCCTCTAGCCTGCAATGGACTACTGCTTTGAGCAACTGCTTTTGTTACAGAGAAAAAAAAAAAGCAGCAAGAAGTACAGGGAAAGATCAAGCCAATCCATCTTTTTCTACACCATGGGAAATAGAGTCATTTGTTAAACAAAAAGGTGTTATATTAAAACCTAGAATTTTCTGATACCTAAACAGTAAAAGATACAGTAAAAAATAAGTAAATAGTCACCTCAGACAACAAATGATGTTTAAGTTCAGACAGAAGCTAGGCATAAAAATGACTGTGAAATTCTGTATCCATCTCATGCAAGAGGTCAGATGATCAGAACAGTCCCCTCTGACTGTAACAGCCATATATCTTTAAAACTGGCACAATGCAATGTCCCAGAATCATCTAATTACCCAACGAGGACTTTTTGAAAACTCTAAGAAAGAAATTGAATCACAGGAGAGAGAGAGATATATTCCAGATCCCAGGAGAAAGATGCATAGAGCAAATCTTGCAGAGATAAACCAGGTCTGAGAAGGAAAGATGTGCTACAAGCAGGAGAATAACATGAAGAGAAACTTCAAAACTTTTAAGAGGTTGTTCCATTTCGTTGACTCTCACTAGTGACTGTTAGAAACCGTCCTTTCTGAATTGCCAGAAATGGTATTGTGGTTCATATAAACTGTGAGACTGACTCAGAACAAGCCACATTTTAAATACATTTTGACACATTGCTATACTGTAAAGTATTCAATGTGAAGTTTTCTCTGAAGACATCAGATTTCCCTGCTGTCCAAAGACAGTTTTTATGGCAAACCTTATTGCCCATAACACAACAGCATCATTCTAAAAGGCTGAAAGCACAGTCCTAGGCCATTTTCTCCAGCATCATAAAATGATCATCACTGCAATACACTAAGTTGCCAATGTCAGACAAATTAATGACTTGGAATGGGAATGGAATTTTTTTTATTATTATTTTTGGCCTCTCCATGCTGCTATGGTATGTCATCATGGACAAGGAAAACTTTTTGGCCAGCAATGTAGCTGTCCGGCACCCCAAAAAAAAAAAAAGGCCACAAGGTTTTACAGTTCATCTGATACTGAGAAACTGCACTGACTTAAAAAGCAAAAAATGTCCTCAGATAGTTTATAGTATAAATTACAAGCAACTTTACTACAGTTCTGGCCTATTGCACTCCCTACACATTCCCTTCATTCTCTGGTTAGCTCTATGAACTGGCTGCAGAAATAGGCTACATTTTAAAAGCTAGTCAAGGCCCCTCTCATTTTTGACATCATATCACAAATGCAAAATAAAAAAAAAAGCTGAGGCAATACACCCTGCACCACCTGCATAGCTCGACTCTAGAATTTTAGGTGATGTTTTTCTTGCCAAAATGTTTCAGCCACAACTCTAAATCTCACACCTCTGGGGTGATGGTACCTCAAACTCTTCCTTCGATTTCCCAAAACATTGCTCAACTGCTCTGCTTAAAGCATTCCTTCCCCCTCTTATTATCTAGTTCAAACTTTTCCTTCCTTAGCCTTAAGCTATTGCTCTTTCTCCTACCACCTGAGACAAGCAATTCCCTCTCTTCATTTATCTTACTACCTTGATGATATTAATAGACTATGAGCCAGTCACCTCTACTCACTCTGAAAATTGAGTTCACTCTGCTTTTTGCTGCCCTCCTTTGTGTTCTCTCTGGTGTGTTTTTTTTTTTAAAGCCTTCACAAGCATGAGACTTAACTGGCAAAGTATTAAAAGGTAAGCAGGCCTACATATAGGAGAATATCATTAGAAAACACTTTGCTTTACTATATGTAAGCTATAATGTAAAATGTTTTAATATGTAACTATTATATAAAATTGAGAATTCCTACTTCGATGAGTCGTGTTGATCCATGTACAAGATGTCCTATAGATAAGAGAAATCCCAAATCCCATGCAGCTATGCCTTCATCTTACCCCTCTGCAACTTTTTAAACAAGCTACTGAAACCAAATACCATTAAATATTAATATGCATTAATCAGAATTAATTGATCCATTGGGACTGGATAGCTTAAATAAAATTGTGCAAAAAATAACCCTCACAAATGGGAAAACCTGAGGGTATGACTAATAGTTAAATGAATGAAGAAAAGGATATCCCAGAATAATACCACATGATGATTAAAGCTTTTCTACTATGTATTTTGTCCCAATAAGTTTATATACAAATAGAAATTTATAAAGCCACTAAAGAGATAGGGGCTTTTTTCCCTTCAAACTGCAGGGAGATTTTTTTTACATTTATTTTCTGATATGTACTGTCTTGGCTCTTCACATCAATTATATCATTGTGTTCAAATCAGCAGTTTATTATGAAAAATCACTTGAGATGACCCTCCTCCATGTTTGGATGATTAAGGTACCATAAACACCTAACTGCTATATCAGCTACAGCATCGCTTCTTTCAAGCCTCTAATAGAAGTCCATCAAAACCAGCCTATAGAGCTGAAATGGTTCTTTAACATTAACAGAGCCTTTTTCATCTATCTGGAGAAACTGTGAACTACCAAAACAAATGGAAAATTTAGTTACAGATTGTTTCACCCAATTCAAAACAATTAATACATGGGGTCATGAACAATTGGTTATTTCTTCTTAAATATACTT